ATTAGTAATTATATTATCACAGATTTGGGGCGCAATTTTGGTACTGGTTCTGGTTGATACTTATCTTATGAGTCTGATATGATTTCAGAAAGCTATTGGCATAAGTTCGAGAGAATAAATCGAAACGGAAATCAAAGAGTTAAATAAAATGGATGGTTAGCGAACGTTGGATCATTTTTAACATAAAGTCGGGAGAAACCCATCTTCCGAGGGTCTATCAGACATTTACATATGCTCTGTCTAGTACGCTCAAACCCCATTAGTATTGGCAAATAGTCAATTTATTCATTAATAACATTTAGAAATATTGGTATAAAATAAGCAATAGTTAATTGATTCGGATATAAACTTAATTATGTTAAGAATATATAGAAGAGAGGTAGTTCCACACCATTTTCAGAAAGTACTTAAAACTTTTGACAGTATTCAAAGGGCTTTCAAATATCTTTCAAACTAAATGAAAAAAGGTGTCCAAACACTCTTTCAGTGAAACAAATCGGTTGGAGTAAAGATTATGTTAACATTAGGCAAGATTTTAAATATTTCTTTAAGCTATTTATTTTATTAATTGAAATTTAGTTCAATAAATGGAAATAACAAAATAAAATTTTATATCATTTTCATTATAAGGATTTTATATGTTATCATGTTTTCTTATGCCGAAACCTGATCTTTTCTCAAAAATATGTCTGACAGAAATATTTCCTATATATCAAAATATAAATCTGTCAATAGTTGTTATTATTACAGTTGTTATTCCAATTTGAATGATCTGCCAAAACCACTCGGAGTTTCGAATTTTTTAAAATAAACTTTTTCTTTTATCATGCTTTTAATATTCGGAGATTCATTATTACTATAGTCAAGTCTACGTATGAACTTTAAGGCCTTCTAAAATTACAGAATACACTAAAATATCCACTTGGCATATTTTTCCTAACGGCAGTTGTATCTCGCGATTAATGTAAATCATTAATTTCACATATGTAGTTAGGAAGTCATTAGCCATTCGGCTGGCGCTTCTTCTGTTTCATCAGATAACTTATATATTTTCAGATAGAGCACAACAAAACTCTAGCGACGAGTTTTTCTTACTAATATCGTGTTAAAACTAACAAAAAAAAGTTTAAGTGCTTTTATTTTATGGCAATTCCTATTCAAAATTTAATTAATTTTCATACAATGGAACCTCACATCCACTTTCCACAATTCCAGCAATGAACTTCTGAAATTGGATTCTAAGTAGACGATATTATATGTTATACATATGTACTAATTTTAGCAACACATTGTAAAATAAAATAAATAAACATTATTTACTTGAAATAATATGTCATACTCGTCTTAACAGCAACAACAGCAAGTACTCTATTTGGGAGACATCCCAGTGTATGGAGAAAGTGTATTACCAATTCGTCTACAATATTTGCTTGTTTTCTTCCTATTGCTTTCATTCTGTTTAGTTTTCATTTAAAAAGCATTAACCTTTCTATATGTACATATAAATAATCTAGTTGGTTATATATACAACATATGTTGTTTACTTATTGTTAAGTTGTCCTTAATACCTTTCAATTACGATTTCATTCAACAATGCACAGGCTAGAAATCGCCGATTAAATTTCGAATACAATATTCGATTTTTGTGCAGAGTAAAGCTTAAAGGCATATTAGAGTTAACCGTATTGTATGACAAACACGATCATTATTCGTATGTGTTGTTAAAGAGTTGATCTGCGTCGTGATTCTGGAGAGTGCCGTTGACATCCTATGAGCTACTACTGAACAACTTTTGTGAAAGATTTAGTGGACCACTCATTCTCCACAAGGCGTAAGAAAGTTATTACCGAGTACTGTCCAATGGACGTTTCTATTGTGAGGGTAGACATATTTTGGAACTTCTCTGCACTTCCATCTTGGGGGTTCCGCTTTTGCGTAATAAGGTACAATATAATGTAAGGCTCTACATGAGGGCTTTTATTCATTTTCAGGTGCTATTTTAGCATCACAGAAGTTTGTCTTTAGCAACCCAAGCTTTAACTAACTAACTACAATAACATTGATTATATTTTTATATATAGGGTTTTTTTTTTGGTTTTTAATGAGGTCATACTTTTTACAGAGTTGAACAAACGGTAAAACGTTTGCAATTCGTGCAAAACACGGTGCTACATAACATACAGCCAACGAAATAATCAATTTAATGAAGGAAACTTTTGGAGAGCGCATTATCGTGCGATTTAACACCGCTACTACAATATTTTGAGAAGGGACGCAGATAAGCCTAAAAATAATATTCGGCGTGTATTGCTGACATATGTAAAACATAATGGCAAACCTTTATCTGTTTAATAAAGTTAAATTCTTAGCCAGAACATCAAATACATAAATTATATGAGTTATCTTGAAAACCACATGTCTAAAAAAGCACCCTTTATCTACAGAGGTGCAAGCACTATGTATTGAATCATTCATCCAACTGCCTATGACCCTTGGTCAGTTCAACTCTCGTTTGTTGGCAATTTGACCTTAGCTCGGTTCAATAGTTGACTTTATAGCCATTAACTGTTTAATTGGGCCAGTACTAATGTGCGTACCTACATAGGCACATTTGTATGCATATGTGGCAGTGTCATTATGTAAGGGCAGCATGTGTACGAAATGTCTATAAAATGCAAAAATAATGACTCACCATTACCCACTGTGTGCTAGCAGCGTAGTGGCCATAATGCCACACACCGTATCACACTACATCATATCCGGTAGGCATTTACATACAAACGCATACAAACACACATACGTTTATTACAGTAGAGTATTCTAACAAACTTACCAGTGTCCTTAATCCAGTAGTTAATTGATTTTGGTGAGGCCTCGACGTGACACTCGATCTGCACATCAGTGCCAAGCGGTGCGCCAACTAATTGATTCGGTACTTGAATGACAGGATGAACTGCAAAGACAAAGACCATAAATCAAAAAGAATGCCAACAAAGTGTTAGTCTATGTGGTGGTGGGGAAGCAGCAGTAGTAAATTACCTACAATGTGCATGTAGTTGGTATATTTTCATGTTGCTGCCGGTGCTGGTGGTGGTGGTGTTGTTAGTGTTGGTACGAGCAACATATGTGGTTAGGTCAATTAAGGGCTACTTGACTGCTGTAATTTTATGGTAATTTTTAAAGTTTGGCGCTCGAGCTTGGCAAATGAATACATGTGAGCAACTAACATATTTATGCGCTTACAAAGTGTGCCGCCTTTGAGGATAAATTTGTGGTTTGTGAAGAAAAAAAGTATCTGTGAGTAATGACTACCAGCGATCGTTTTAAAAGTGTGTCACATTTGATTATGTCATGAAGGATACACCATTTAGTAAGCTTAATTTTCTAAATGTTAACAAAATTTTAAATAATACTATTCCATTAATATTTACGTGGCAAATTTCCGTAAAGTGTTGCTATAATCTTAAAATTTTATCCTTCTTTTACCGAAAGTTCTCTAACTGTTCTATTTGACGTTTCTGATGTTAGTATCCTCGACCTACCGAATAACGCTTTAGCAGTTAGTAGCACTTTTTAAAATTTTCCATAAATTTATTGAATACATTTTTTCTGAAAGCAATCATAAGATGTCTTCGATTCACCATTTCTCTACTCTCTACTGCTCGGTTGCAAAAAAAATGTACATGCAAAAGCAACAACAAAGTTATCTAGTTGAATTCATTATGAATTCTTCAAATGACAAATGAAAATATAAAATACTTTTTTCTATATTTCTAAAACATAAGACTTCAAATCAATGGTAGTAGTTCATAGAAAACTAAAATAAAGGGCTGCAACAACGTTTTCTTACGTATCTCTCATACTATCATAATAATATTGCGTATGCCTCAGAAGACATGTTAGCGTAGGATTGCACCATAAGCACTGTGGGTTTGTTTGAGCATCTGTATAGTTTGTTCGGTTCACTGGAGAGTAACATTTGACAAATCACGTCTTTATTTTCATTTTACTTAAAGTTCGAATATTTTATTCGAATACAATACTCTGAACCCAATAAAACTGACGTACGACCAACCACAGCTGTTAAACTATTTTTATTTGTATTCTAATGCGAGGTATTCAATATGTCAAATATAATGACAAAAAAGTTAACTAAACTGACAATTGTATAATTCTGCTGTCCGTATATTGCATCAGAAAAAAGTCATCTCTATTATGATTAGGTTGAGAAATCGATTACAGCGCATCCACATTACACTTTTTATGACTGTGTCATATTGATTCAGTTATGTTTTGCTTTTACACATTCCCTCAAAGGAGTCGGCAATTGATTAATAGCAGCAAGCACAGTTCCTGTTTCTATTGGCTCGAACTAAAGACTTCTTGAGACTCTCTAAATTTCTGTGGGGTATTCGACCGGCTACGTTCTCCAACTCTGACCACAAACCGTAGTCCAATAGATTCGAAACTGGACTTACCGACAGTCAATCATTTGCAGCTATGAAACATGGGTGAATTTTACTTTGTGTATTGGAGCGGAATTTAGCAGGAAAATCAAATACTCTCTGAAGGGAGTATTGCTTAACTGCTTTAATACGTCTTCTAAGACATTTTGCTGGTTCACTTTTGTCACAGTTTTAACCTTAAACTGTGAAAGCTATTTCCCCTCTAAAAAGGATCCTTTCTTGACTCATTAACTGTAGACGTTTCGGAAAAACTATCAATAGAGTGGTAAGCAAACGTTCTCGAAATATTAAGTTTTTTGAAATGCTCATAGTACTCACTTGCGCCAACCCACACGTACTATATAGTACATATACGTTTATCAAGCAATCAGAGCAATATGATTTTCTTTAATTCCCCACTCCTTTGTTAATGAGTGAAAGCAAACATGAAACTGAAAATTATATATAAGTAGACACTGCATATTAAAAGAACGGCACTGTTTTCTGCAAATTGTCATCGGTGTATGTTTAACTTTGTAACAGAATTTATGGCAAGACTAAGTACTTAAAATACGGAAGGAGCTCCACGTGGCATTTGATAACAATTGAAGTTTGATATTGAAAGAAATCTTGTCGATAGATTTATTTAGATTAACGTTAGGGGGGGGTTTTGTCAGTCGTAATGGCGACGTTGTAGAAAAATGATCGTTAATCGTTAATGATAGTATATTGTCAACTACATACATATGTAGTAATTTTTTGGATGTGTTCGAGAAAAAGTATTTTAAAAACTAAATAATTTGTATAAATTATCAAAAGATTGCTGCCTCAAAACGTGATCTAACTTGCATGTACGATTCTCTTAAGTAGCCCAATAAATCATATGAAATTTTCAGTATTTCCAAATAATTTTGCTTCTCCTCACCCAAAAGGTGCTGCAACGAAGCATGTTTGCCTCATGCAGCTTCGTTGTAAATCAACATTCAATGGTGAAACATGCAACACCTATTGATTAGGAAAACTTTACGTGCTTCTAGGCAAATCACGAAGTGACCAGAGACAACATTTAAAGTTGCTAACTAACTCATATGCAAATACTCGGAGCAGTGGTAGTGAAGCCAGCACTTTTTGTATCTAAATCGATTGCGGCTCTCTGCAACTACCGAACTGCCGAATTGTGTGGTTTTGTTGGACATTTTAGCAATTGCAACAACAACAAAGCTGTGTTGGTTGAAAGGGTAAATCAGCAATGGTCTGGCATGCAAGTATACTGATACGCTGATACAAATGCTGAAATCAAGAACAAATAACAACAAAAACAAGAAAAACATTAAAAATCAGTTCATCAATTTGAGCTCGAGTTCGAGTTCAGTTCAAAAGGTATTGAAGTCAATGCAATTTGGAAAATATTTTGTTGTAAAATGCTGAAGTGAAGCAGAAACCACAGAGCAACCGAAGCGAGTGACATTTTGTTATTATTCCAATGAAGAATAGCCAGAGCATTGCATATGTGTTGGTGCACACACATATAGATATTAATATATGTACGTGGGTGTGTTTCTAAGCAAAGACGGTGGAAAGTAAAGTGGTGTGGTGGGTCGTTCAATATGCAACAGCAATCAAAGCGAGTTGAAAGTTGCATGCAATTCGCAGAAGAAGAATCTGCAAAGACCATTCAGACAGCATACAAAGCTTATCATCACATCAAATATATTCATACATGGGCAAGTGTAGCTTTTAAGACTATTCAGATGTTTCGGTATTGATGAATTTTGATGCGTGAAGCACTTTGTAAAACAACTAAAAGTTTTTGCATAAATGTGTGTTCTTCGGAATTCTATACATACATAATTTTGTTTTCTTTGTTTAAATAAAAAAAAATTATTCATACTTCTTACGTTAAATAAAACTTTATTTAAAATATATGAAAAATATTCCAAAAACCAAAAATTTGTTAATTTGGGTTTATAATTATTTTCTAATAAAAAAAGTAGGCATTAAAAAAATAGAGACATACAATAAAATCTTATTATACGAAGTTTGCAGGACTGTGCTTTCTCGTCTTTCACTACTTGAAACAACACTTGATTTTAAAGAAAAATTATAATAAGAGTAGTAATCCCGCAAAAATTTTATTAATCATAGTGACTAATGGCGTTATGTACTATTTTCACTACGTCAAATTCAATGAAAGTCTATGTCAAAGTAGTGAAAATGGTTGCCATTTTATTGTGATAGTAGTTTCATATATTTGTGACAACTTGGCAACGTAGTAGTACCTATGGTTTAGTAAAAGTTAAATCTATGGGTGTCCAATAGATAAAATTGTCATTTGATTAATATTTCTCGATAGTGGGAGTACAAGTCCATTCAAGTATTACTTTTACTCATTTAGATAACTTTTTGTCATTGGATTTGACAAAGTGAAGACTGCACAATATAGCTTATAGCAAAATATTCAGGTTGATGAGACAAGCTGTTGGTTAAGGGTACACAGGGTGCTTAACTTCTTATTCTTCTGATCATATATATATTAGTCATGCAATATGAAAAATTTTGGAGTTGTGAATATTCCTTCCAAATTGTTAAATTAGTAAGTAAAGAGACTAATGTACATTTTTCATTAAAAAAACTAAGTAAAACTACTTCCAAATTGCATAAAAAAGTATTTGTTTATAAAAAAAAATCGAAAAAATTCATCATTTATCTCATTAGAAAGCTGAGAAAAAATCGTTAATAAAAATTAAATCACCTGTGCTAGTAAAATTGACACAATAAAGCGAAAACTATGATGCAGTAATTTAAAAAAATATCTCATAACTCTAAAAAGCAGAAACTCCGTAAAGTCAAAAGCTAGCGATAATAGGCTTATTTTAAAAACATATCCAAGGCATTTCAAACCTTTAAATTAAATGTGCATAAAAATACTTTCATCACAAATGGGATCTTTAAAAATTCTAGTGATTTTATAAAATGCAGCCGATTTCGTTCAAAATACAAACCAATTATGTTATTTGACGCAAGCGTGATTATAATTAATTAATAAGATTTTTAATGAAATATCATATAATATATTTGTAATTTTTCTGGAAATCTATACACTCTTAGTTATTAAACTCTTTAGCAAATACTCAACTGCTTTTTATTTTTTATTTTTAAAATTTAGTATACAAACGTTATAGGTTTCGACCGGTAAAATGCTGCCAGTATTGTTAAATACCCTGATGGAAACTTAGAACCCATTGAGTTTTTCTTGGTATGGAAAGAATTAATACAAGTATTGTAGTACTTTGAGTCAAGAACTTTCTGCTGCGCTGATTTAGGAATTTTTATATATTATGCGTTGAATTATTCCAAAAAACCTATTAAAATTCTTTTATGTTTTCACGGCTCATTTCAGGCTGAGCGTTCTACTTTAACAACAACGGTAAAACTTCTTTCCTCTAACGATAACAAACGCTGACTCGGGCTTTGAAGATATCAAGGTAATGGGAAAAATATTTTCGCC